GTTTGATCAATAACATGTGCTTTTGGAATTGTCCCATATTTTGTATACCACGTGACCAAAATCTAAAAGTTATATATTCACAAGAACTAGCGTATATGGGGCTCTTAAATACTTTTTACAGAATTGAATTATCTCTTGTAGTTTAAGAGTAATCGACCAAACCGCGTGTGCGAGATACCTTGACTACCCCTTTATTATAATAAAATATTATGACTATAATCAATATCTGATACAATTTAATTTAAATAAATTATACATTAATAGACAATGTTTTATAAATGACATTAAATGTTTATTACACTTGTTAGACGTTTTAAGTATTTTATTAGTACATGTCTAGTACTTTAATACAGCTGTTGCTATAATAAAACAAATTAATTAACTAACCAACTAATTAATTAACTTAATATATAGTTCAAATATCTAATCAATGTTCAGTTTATTCAGTATTAAATTTATTTCTGAATTATACATATTATTTAAATAACAAATTAAAAATTGGCTTTATTTTGATAATTATGAATAGATTTTGTGAAATTTGTGGCGATTTTAAAGGAATCGGTATTAAATATTAATGTTTACTATTATTCTGTAATTTATATAAATATAATGATATATTAGGTCGAAATTATGGCCGTTTAACTTGCGATTCATGTAAAATGTTTTTCAGGAGATATTGTACAAAAACTAAGGTATGTTTTGTTTAACGTTTCAAAGTATATTTTTTGTTAAACTTAAATTAATTTTATTACAAATTAATTAATTGTATTACAATAGCAATATAAATGTCGTTTTTATGGCAAATGTAATATAACTCCAATTACTAGAAAAATGTGCTCAAAATGTAGGATTAATAAGTGTTTTGCAATCGGAATGAAAAATGTATAAACAATTAAAGTTTTTATTTAATTAAAATTGTTATTAATTTTAAATATTTGACAGGAATTTAAGCAATGCTACAATAAAATGCAAACAAACAGTACAAATACATTAAATATAGTCACAAATCATGTCAATAACTCAATAGACATGGAGTATAGTAATCAGGAATCACAGAATTCTACAGTTATTCCCGTATATAAAGGACTCACGGATTATAAGGGTTTGCGTGAAATGGAGGTCAGAAGAATCGGTGAACTGATGGCAGCGGTTAATGTCTTTAATTATCCATTGACTGAAAACGTGGTAAAAATTCACGATAAAAGTGAGTTCTACCGCATATCCAAAACAATGACAGACAATCACATCAGGGATACCACTGTATTTGCCACCGGTTTGGTATCCTTTGCCAACACCTGTACCGACGATCAGATATTATTGTTAAAGTATGACGTGTTTGAAGTGATTTGCATTAGATTTATACAATATTATGACCAAGATCATGAGCTTTTTCGTGTTAGAATTGTAAATATTTTTATCTTGGTCAAAACATATAATTTATTTAATTACATCTGTGACTTTGTTTTAGGATAACGAGAATACGATTGTACTTACATTGGACTTAATTCAACATAATAATTTTCATTATTATCAAATGCTTAAACGCTTGCTCAATAACTTTATTAAAGAATCTAATAGTGATCAAATTATTATGGATTTGGTTTGTAAAATTTTAATTATTTTACCTTCATAACAATTGTAAATTATTTTAATTTATATAGTTAACAGCAATAGCACTATTCAACCCAAATCGACCCGATTTAAAGCATAGATATAATATCAAGTGAGTTAACAAATGTTTATAAATATTTATAAATAATAATTTTAATTTAATTAATTTTAATATTTGTTAGACTCGAACAACAAGTGTATATATATTTACTGCAGAAATATCTACTATTGAAATACTCGTCAGAATCGGAATCACAAATAAAACTACAAAAACTAATGTTATTATTGAATGATTTAAATGAAACAATGAAAGTCCATAAGTCTGTAGCCGTGGAGGAGATCAAGGATTACATCCAATATTGCGGTCCACTTCTCAAAGAGGTTTACGACTTATCAGACACTAGAGAACAGCTAGATTTGGATAAACTAGATGTTTGCTAAACAACATAGTTAATTAATTAGACATAAAACGCTATAACTTATACTGTAAATGTAATTTAAGAATTAGTTTTGGGTTAAGAGAAATTACTTGTAAATTTTTGCAATTAACTAGAATCTAGATAAATATTGGCATCCTGTTTCTGAGCATGTGCTTAATATTACCGCATATTTAACGTATAAGAAATATTAATCGTTGATAGATCAACTAACTTTAATAATTTGCACTCATTTAAGTGTACAATGTATAAAACAATTTATAGAAAAGTGACAAGTGTACTTAAATAATAGTTGTATCATGATTAATAATTAAACAAATATAATACAAAGATATAACTTTGATGAGGGTTTGAAAAGATTTTATGCAATTTGTTTCTAAGAAACTGTTGATTGATTAGAGATGTCGACTCCTATTAACATTGAACACAATTAATTGCAAAATATAAAAATACATTAATTACACTAGGTTTAGTGCAAATATAATAGTTATAAACGTTTGGTTCAACCTTGTTATATCTTCACAGTATATTGTATGTATTTATCATTGAATAGTTCATAATAAGTCTGTACAGTTAGAGTATATTGTATATCAAAATTTACCTCAACAATATTAACGTTTGTAATATAAATATTAAGTCAAAATAAATAGTTATAATACATGCGTATATTATTGTATAAATATAAATATACATTTTTCATTTGATATGTAATGTAGTGTTCATTAAATATATTTTGATAATAATGAGCAGAATTTGTGAGGTTTGCGGAGAATCTAAAGGAATTGGTATTTAAATAAATTTATATTTTTATATTTAAATAATTAATTAATTAATTAATAATTTTATGTTATATTTAGGACGAAATTATAGTCGTTTAACATGCGATTCGTGTAAAATGTTTTTCAGGAGATATTGCGTTAAACCTAAAGTAAATTCTCGTAGAATATAAAACATGTAAATTTATTATTAAAATTTCACATTTTATTACTAATAGATATATGGATGTACTTCAGATGAAAATTGCAATATAACTGTAATCACAAGAAAATTTTGCTCAAAATGCAGAATCAATAAATGTTATGCCATCGGAATGAGAAATGTATACACAGTTTGTTTGTAATTTGTATATATTTATTTAAATCTTTACATTAATGTTTTTAACAGGAATTTAAACAAAATTACAACAAAAAGCAAATTAGTAATAAGAAGATCAAAAACAAGGAAAACAAAACACGAAGTATTAATAACAAAAATTTTATTGATCCAGAATCGGATAATTCAAGTGAAATGTATAAAAACATAAGTTGTAATAACATTCAAGAAGTGGACCAACAAGTGGTGGAAATTGAAAATTCTGTTACAAACTATATCAACAAAACAATAGATTCCGTGTTTTATAAACAAAAATCACAGAATTCTGTAATAATTCCGGTTTTCAAAGATCTTACGGATTATAACGGTTTGAATCAATTAGAAGTCCTAAGGATTGGCGAACTGTTGGCAGCCGTGAATTCATTCAATTTTAATGTTACTGAAAACGTGGTAAATATTAGCGATAAAAATGAATTTTACCGCATATCCAAAACAATGACCGATAATCACATCAGGGATAGTACAAAATTTAGCAAAGGTTTGGTATCGTTTGCCAACACCTGTCCCGACGACCAGTTATCGCTGTTAAAGTATGCTGTGTTTGAAATTACCTCGTTGCAAAATGCACATAATTATGACCGAGATGATGAGTCTTTTCTTGTTCAAATTGTAAGTAAATAACTTATATTAATTATTTATAATTAAGATATTAATTATTAAACTATTTTTAAGACCAATTATTATAATTAATTATTATTGTTTTATAGGAAAACGATACAACTGTTGTATTATCATTGAAGTTAATGCGTTATGATAATTTTAATTATTATCAAATGCTTAAATGTTTTATGAATAATATCGTTGAGGAGTCACAATGCGATCACATTATTATGCATTTGGTAATTAATTTCTTAGACAATCTATAATATAAAATAATTATACACATGTTATTAATGTGTTATTGAATAAAAAATTTTAAAAATAATTAATTATTATAATTTATAGTTAACAGCGATTACACTTTTTAACCCAAATCGACCCGATTTGAAACATCGAGATAATATTAAGTGAGTTAAACATAAAATATTAACTTTATGTAATTTATTAACATGTGGTTATACAGTATAAATCTACATTAAATTAATTATTTTAACTATTTCTTAGACTAGAACAACAACTCTATGTATATTTACTACAAAAATATCTTCAATTAAAATATGTATATCAATGGGAATCGCAATCAAAACTACAAAAACTGATGTTATTATTGAATGATTTGAACGAAACAATTAAAATCCGTAATTCTTTAGCCGTGGAAGAGATCAAGGATTACATCCAATACTGCGGTCCACTTCTCAAAGAGGTTTACGACATATCAAACAATGAAGAACAGCTGGATTTAAATGAACTAGATATTTGATGCTTGGACAATCACTATACTGTACAGTGTGTTTACTACATTATTAAAAATACATTATTATTTATTGTTAAATTATATTTTATGTTATAATTTTTACATTTCAACGTTAAATAAATTGTTAATTCTTATGTTTATTTGAAATAATATTGATTTTATAATTGTTTAATTGATCAATTTAAATTCAATGCCAAAGTTAAGTATTAATGTTGTTTAGTAAAAGTAATATAACAGTACATTGGGTTTATTGATTACAATGAAATTATTTGAAATAATATTGATTTTATAATTGTTTAATTGATCAATTTAAATTCAATGCCAAAGTTAAGTATTAATGTTGTTTAGTAAAAGTAATATAACAGTACATTGGGTTTATTGATTACAATGAATGATACGTTTTTGAATGGACTTACGATAAGATTGCAAACAAATTTCATTAAAGTTTAGTGAATAAAACAAACCTAATCTGTGTTTAAACAACCATTTAATTGTATTTCAAGGATTCCTATGAGGATATTCAGGTATAATATACTGTATATTGTGTTTATAATTATTCAATGTAAGTCCATCAATATTTGTTAATTGTGTTATTAGTTTAATATAAACATTGTTTATAAATCTATAAGATAATGAGAAAATACAGGAAGAAAATTGATCAAGTTTGTCATGTTTGTGGAGATAAAGCATCTGGTAAGTTTAGAATGTTTTTACTAACAAGTAAATAATGATTAATAATTATGATAATAATATTTAGGCAGAAATTTTGGTGGCATTTCGTGTGAGAGTTGTAAAGCATTTTTTAGGAGGACTGCCATCAAAGACAAAGTAATTATAATTAATTACTAATTATTAATAATAAGTTACTATTATTAACTAATAAAATGTGTCCAAATTATGACACTGTTGTTCTAGACGACAAAATGTCGTAAAAACAAAACATGTAAAGTAGAGCCCCGGGAGAAGAAGTGCCAAAAATGTCGACTCGAGCGCTGTTTTGCCGCCGGAATGAGACGGGTATGCGTTTAACTAAAATTTAACTCGTGATAAAATTAAATAATTTTATATAAAAACTAATTATAATTAATATACATCACAGGAATTCATACGAACCGATGAGGAGAGGCAACAACTTGGACAATTAATTCACAATAAACGACACCAAAAACAAATTACTGAATGTAAAAACATCAACATACCATATGATAATGAATACACCTGTGCTGTCACTGCTGTGGTCAATGAGTGCGACTTTTTCACCAAAATACTTGACGATACTATTAGTACCGATGCGTTGAACGCCGAGATCACAGAGATTGAGACCTACCTGTCAAACAGTGACATCAATTCAACCATAATTAGTCAGCCAAACACACCGGACTCGAGCTCAGGGTTAATCCCGGAGCGGTCACCGGCGATGTTACCCTATTTTGAGCAAATCGTTGACTACAAGGTGTTCAACGAGTTGGAGACCAATCGGTTGTTGGAGTTGTTTACGGCCGCCAACGCCTTGTTTCACGATATTATGCCCATTAATATCACAGAGTTTACAAATCTCGATGAATATATGAGTTTAGATGTCCACTCTTCGGCTGTAACTCGTAGAATCACCAAGGTGGTACATTTTTCAGATAGTCTTAGCCTGTGCGATAACCTGTACAACGAGGATAAACTGACCCTGGTCAAATACGGTAATACCGATGTGTCAATGTTGCGATCTGTAACCATATTTGATTACGAGGCTCAGTGCTGGAGAGTTAAAATTGTAACTAGAATAATTATTATTATTAAATGTGCAGGGCTAATTTAAAATTCTATTTTTCATTATATGCAGAATAATAATATGACCGCAGCATTCAGATTAGCCATGTTGGACATATTTGAACACTACGATGTGCTCAATAGATTTATTAACAACATATACGCGGAATGGGATTCCGATTCCGTTATATTAGACCTGGTATTTGTATAATTGTATTGATTTATACATATTCTGTATATAACTACTATATTATTCTCATAGTTAACGGCAATTGTATTCTTCAATCCTAATCGACCCAAACTCAATCGCAAAGAGATTGTTAGGTAAGCAAAAAACCAAATAACCTAGTTTATAAATATTTTGATAAATCTAAATAACTATAATTACTATTTACTAGACTTCAACAATACATTTACATGTATTTACTTCAACGCTATTTATTAATAAAATACGGCTCAGAATCGCAGACAAAATTTGGTCAATTGATGGCACACATAATGGATCTAGATTTTCTAAGTCAGCTATGTAGGACAGATGTCCACACTATATACCCAGATGTTCGCAAACGTATTGTTAATAGTGGTCTCTCTATAGATGGCAGACCAATAAAGGAGTTTTATAAAGGTTTATAAATTATAATTAAATTAAATTAAATCATAAGTTATATAACGTTATATATAGACTTTACTTATGTCATATTAATCTTAATTACATTAATATTTGTAATTCAAATAAAACATATATTTTGTTTACAATTAGTTGTGAAAATTTAATCTAAATAATTAATGTAATTAATAAAGGGACAGGATTGAAAGAAATATAAGTATATTGTCACGACGGTAATTTATTGTAAGATAATTGAATGATATCAACCTATGACAAAAATTTTGTTGTTTAACCAGGCAAGTTATAATTTAAGTAATCTGATTGCATAATTATCTTTATTAGTTTTGTACAGAAAGCACATGAAGTTCTATCATAATATTTTATACTTATAATTAGATTAGATATAATAATTAGAAACTGAATTATATATGTCTTATTGCAATGAATGACATATTGTGTGCTAAATAGTTAATCAAAAAATTATGTGGATAAATATTTTTCTATGTGGGTATCCTATTATATAATAATTTAACACATTTAATTAATCATGATCGCAATTTTGAACACTTTATAAATGTAATTATCTCATTATGGACTCAGCATTTTGCGATGTTTGTGGCGATAAGGCAATTGGTAACTATTTATTTTGTTAACATAATATTTATACTAATAATTAAGCTCAGTTTTCAGTTTAATTAACTGTAAAAATTATTAAATAAATAATTAATTAAATTAATATATAATTTAAGGTAAAAATTTCGGTGCCATCACATGCTCTTCGTGTAAGACATTCTTCAGGAGAATCACATCCAAAACAAAAGTACAATAATTTGATTTATAATATTGTATTGTATTTTACTATTGTAAATATTGCATAGATTTATTTTATGATTAATTCATTAACCAGGATTATAAATGCTATTTCGTTGATAATTGTGAAATAAATATATTAACGAGAAAATTCTGCCCAAAATGTCGACTGAGAAAGTGCTACACAAAAGGCATGATAAGGGTTAGTAATAAATCTACCATAATATTAGATATTTTATATTAATGCAAAATTTTCAACACGTATTTCAGGATAATATACTAAATGACAAACAAAGGGAATTTAAGAAAGCGGTGGCCGAAGAGAATCGCAAAATACGGCAAAATAAAAATAAATACTTATCAAACTATACATCGGATCAATCGCTGCCCCAGTGTTTGCCTAATGAGGGGTTTGACTGTAGTTTTCAAATCATTACCACCGAGGACAATGATCCTGACACAAGCAACAGCCAGATAAATATTTATTATTTAAATGAGACACTCAAACACACTCCACTTGCTATTGAAATTGGCTATAATATGCGAGAATCGTTCAACGAGTTAGAGACAAATAAACTGACCGAGTTGTTGCGGGCGATGACAGTCTATCCGTGTCCGCCACCCGCGGTGGACACCGAGTACGACAACATGATTGTCATCAGACAAGCCCTGAGCTTAAAGTACGAGAACGAGATCAAAAACATGGTAAATGTGATGCAAAAGTTGCCTATTTTTGGCCACATCTGCGATAACGATAGGATAGCGCTCGTGAAGTACGGATTCATTGAGATATTTCTGTTGCGATCGGTTCTGGGCTTTAATTTTCACACACAAGACATGATATTAACAGTGGTTTGTATGAAATTATTGATTTAGTTTTGCAATCATTACCATAATTTAAGTTATATTTACTGTTGACCAGGAAAACGATCACTTGTTTCGCTTCAAACTTGATTTATTGCGAACTAATAAAAGACAATTTCACGACTTTTACAAACAATATCTCTACGCTATGGGACCGGAGATACAGACAAACACTGTTATCATTGATTTGGTAATCGTTTTTAAAAGAATTTTTAACTAATAATAATATAAATAAATGTATACTTTATTTAGTTTACGGCAATATCGTTATTCTCGCCAAATCGACCCAATCTTATAAATAAAGACATTGTTAAGTGAGTCTAATACCCGATTTCAGTATAATTAATACAATAAAACTTAAAATAATCTATGTATTTATTAGGCTGGAGCAGCAAATTTACATATATCTATTAAAACGGTATCTATTATGGAGATATCAATCGGAAAGTGAGGCCAGTGTTAAGTTATTGAGTTTATTGAATATTTACAAAGAGGTACAAGTGTTGGGACAAATCCAAAGGCTTAACTCCAGTGAAAATCTACCTCAATATATGGGACCACTTCTTAGGGAAGTGTTTGACATCAACGCCGACGACAATTCATTTAGTCATACTATTAATTGTTAAATAATAATTTAATTAAATACTTGTAATGTATAAAAAGAATTATTTATGTTTGCAATTTGTACACCAGGGAAAGTACAAATAAAATGTATTTAATTATTTAAAAATTGTAAATACTATTAAAATAATTTGTAAATGTAAATTAAATATATTGTTAATCGCGCAATAGATGATGCTTAAATGTTCATGGTATATTAAAGTTAATTTTTAATGAAATTGATTTTTACCCATTACAGTAAATATTAAATAATTCCAAGAATTACCTTGAAAAAATAATGTGTCAAATAGTTTTTAAGATGTTTATACAATTATATGTAAATGTATATACTTTACTGTATGTTATATGAATTTAATAATGTCTACAATAGTGACACTGGGATTGTCCCAATACTCCCCACATTTAAGCATTAAAACTGTGGCTATTATTAGATACAATTTCATACAGAATAACCTTAATTATATAATATATATATAACATATAATTAATTAAAAGCTGAAATAATAATAAAAATAATATACATTGAGTTCATGGTAATTATACATCATTAAAACACTCTTATAAAATCAATAAAAACGGCCAAAATTATTAATACATAGATTAAGTTATTTTTATGGTTATCTAATAACAATTGCAAAATATTAACAAATTTATTGTTACATAAAAAATACAATGCATATCTACCCCACCATAAATATTGATTAATAACACCTTGCTAATAATTATAAAATGTTATGCAATAATTTATCTTGGTAAAATATTGTACAGAATATACGTTTATAAACTGTGTGAGTAAAATGTTCTGTATTGTAATAATAGGCTAGGGTCTAACTGCACCTGTAACAGGTAAATGTAGTTAATAAATTCTCTCTCTCAAACACTCACACTATCCTACTATACAGTCACATATAGCTGATAAAAATGCATTTTATATCAAATATACAGTGAATATTATCGACGCAAACTCTCGTAATATATACCGAGAAATGTATATATAATAAACAAATTCGCTGTATAAACACAACAATAAATATCTGTATTTGTGTTGTATATTACGTACAAAATACAAAAATAAGTGAAATATAAAATAAAAATTTAATAATTTGTTGCCGTTTGACGACACAGACAGCCATTGGAATCGTCAGAATATAATAGTTAATTACAAATTGTGTGTGTTTTTTGATTAACAAGTGTTTTTTCAAAGTGCATTATACAATAAAACATATCGTCATTTTACGTACAAAATACTAATATATTACAAAATCATACCTGGTTGCTTAAGGCTTAACGTGTGTAAATATTAATATACATGTATTTGCTTGCACTTACAAGTCGCTAGTAAGCCAACAAGATCATATAAAACCACCACTAATTTACTGGTAGTGTTATGTATTTGGAAAAAAAGTTATATAACTGTAGATATTAAAAGTGTTTGGGTTTTTGTGTTTAAAGTAATGAATTGATTCATTCAAACAATTAATTGACTTTAATTTATTCAACAAATTAAAGAAATATTATTTTTTATACAATATATTGTGTTATAAAAAATGCCTAAAAAGGGTGAACCAAAAATATGCGGCGTTTGCGGCGGTAAAGCGATCGGTAAATGAATTAATTATATTAATTATCTGTATTACAAAATCAATAACATTACGTTAGGTTAATAGTTTTATTATAATTTAGTAAATTTGTTCAAGGTTATATCATTAAATATTTATACATTTGTATTTACCTAATTTATTTATCTATGTAAATTTAATTTTCATTTTATTTGTTTAGCTAAAAACTTTGGCGCAATGAGTTGTGGGCCGTGTAAAGCGTTTTTTCGCCGCAATGCCATTCAAAACAGGGTAAATATTAAGTTTTATAATTAACCAATGATTTAATTAATGTATTTATTATAAATATTTTGTTTTTAGTTTAAGTGTCAGTTCAACGAGAGATGCAAAATAGATATCATAACCAGAAAATTCTGCCCAAAGTGTCGGCTAAATAAATGTTTTTCTATTGGAATGAACAAGGTAATAATATATACAAAAATAACCACGATCAAGTAACTAAACAATACACTAATAATACTAATAGATACTAATTATATATAATTGTTTTTATTAATTATATTTTCCTATAAAATAAAGGACTGGATATTAAATGAGGAGCAAAAGGAAGTGATCCGAAAGCGATTGCATGAGAATCGACTCATGAAACTCAAGACTAACACCGAGAGTAATTCATGCGATGATAATAATAGTGATAAAAAACCAGCCAAAGAGCGCAAGGTCAAAAAGAAAAAAGTTGACAACAACAACAACAATAGCCACAACTCGGATGACAACACCGACATCGATGTCCTGACAGTACCTGCGCTTAAGACATATGTCTTGAGTAGCGATGGGAGCGACAGCCTATCGCCAGCTCTTCAGTCCGATTACGAGGAGCTAAACACAGCCATCGATGGTATGGCAAGTGATCATAACGAGTGGTCATCGACCTCTTCGTGTGACAGCGATTCCGCCGGCGGCGATAATCACCGATCGCTGGTTTCCATCCATCGGCCGATCGCTGACTACAGCAACAACTTTAACGAAAGGGAAGGCGTCTGTCTGTCGGAGCTGTTGTCGGCCATGGATTCGGTGAGGGATCCGATATCACCCACGGCTCGAGAGTTGACAGACTTTCATCACATCTACCAGATTATGACCATTAGATTAGATCACGGGATTAGAGATATCATCAAATTGAGCAAAAATCTGACCACATTTAAAGCCGTGTCCGAAATGGACAGATATATACTCGTAAAGCAAAGTTGTGTTGAGATATGTTTAATGAGATCAGCCCTCGTATACGACTACCGCACCGGCTATTGGAATATATTTCTGGTAAGTGTTTATATTATTTGTATATTTTATATCATGTGCAATTTTTATTTAATTAAAAATTTTAATTTTAATAAATATTAGCGTTTTAATCATGTTTTTCAAACATTTAATTGTAGAGAAACGACGACTCGTATCGCATAAAACTCAATGTTATAAAACAACATTCAAATGATATTTATAAGGCTTTCAAAACTTTTTTACAAAACGCTAAACTCGAGTGCGGCTCCGATTCACTCATATTTGATTTGGTATTTAAATTAAAATTATTTATTAATTATTTAAATGATTACAATTATTATTTTATATAAAGTTGACGGCTATAACGTTATTCAACCCAAATCAACCTAACCTATCCAACAGGGATGCTGTTCAGTGAGTGCTCTCTCTCTCAAACACTCACACTATCCTACTATACAGTCACATATAGCT